CCTTGGAGCCTTGACCATCGCCGGAAGCACTAAACATCGCCGGAGAACAGGAAATACCAAAGGTATTTTCATAGATCTACTCCGATTAGGAGTCTTTTTGGGGAAACAAAGGTCGGACTCGACCTTGGGGAAATCAGAGCTGTATTTTAGTGTAAAAAAAATTTCCCGGCCATCGAAGGCGGTGGCCGGCGGTGGAGTTCGCGGCGGCGTGTGGCTGCCGGCGGCTGCCGGAATTCCCTCAGATGAGGGAAATACAGAGAAAAACGAGAGGTTCTCTCGATGAAGAGAGAGAACCAAAAAGAAAAATGAGAAAAGAATGGCCCTTTGGGCCGGTTAAAGGGTATATATACCCTCACCAAAACGACGCCGTTTTGGTGAGGGTATTTCTGTAATTTTCATAGGGGTAAAAACCCTATCCGCAGTACTTCACGTCTGTACACTTTGCAATTTAGTCACTGAAATTGACTTTTATTCCTTTTAATTCATTATTTAAATTTTGTGTTTATTATAATTTAGTCACTACAATAAATTTCTATATATTTTAATTTAGTCTCGTAATTTTGTTTTATATTATTTTTGTCCTTTCCAGCATAATTCATACTTTAGGAAATAACCGATTTAATCCTTATAATTTTATTAATTTATATTTATATCCCAAATTAATTAATAGGGTTAAATACACTAACCATTATCTTTCATAATATTTTGAATATTATCTTTATTTTAATACTTTATATTTAGTTTTATAATTTAATTTCTTTTATTTGATCATATTTAATTACAATATTATTTTGTTATCACTTTATATTTAATTATGGCTTTAATTATTATTTATTATTTTCTTAGTCTTATAAATAATTTATATATATTTGTTTAATTAAATTATAAAATTATAATTTATTTTTATTTAAATCATTTTATGAAAAATTATTACATTTTTAACATTTATTTTATTTATTAAATCGAAGAAAAGAGCTGTCTTAAAGCACCTAGAAGTTCTTTTATGATATTCTTAAATAAATAAATACCTGTTTTTAAATTATATATAATTATTTTTAGAAAAAATGTTTTTTATTTATTTATTAATATCGAAGAAAAGAGCTGTCTTAAAGCACCTAGAAGTCCTTTTCTGATATTTCTAAATAAGTAGATATCTTATTTATGTATATTATATATTTTCTTAAATTATTTGAATAACAGAATTATGAATTAATATATCTAGAAATTTTTAAATTTCTAATAATAGAGACAATTTCTAATAAAAAAGTACCAATTTTGGGCGTTGTAGGGGTGGTACTCCTTCCCTAAACGTAACCGACCACGAATCCCTTTTTATTATTAAAAAGAACGAATTTTTGGTTATAAACGCAGATCAGTTCATCTTTTAACTGATGTTTTCTTAAAACTCTTTTAAAAGATATAATTTTTAGGTATTCGACCTACCTGACCCAAAAGGCCGATGGAGACTCCCAAAATATTTTTTAATCAAAATCATTAATTTATTCACATCACTTTTCCCGCCAAGTAAAAAATTCGTGCCCGGACGAAAACCGGTTACGACACCATGAGGCTGCACTTTGCAGGTATCTAAAAGACAAAATGAATACCTTTAATGCACTCATGTATATGAAAGTGCAATTTTCATAAACGGCATAAAATTGAGCGAACACAACAGCTACTAGGAAACAAATTATATTGATCATAAATGGACTCTGGATATGTTGATTAGTTAATCTGGCTGTGAACTATAAACAACCGCGACCATTAGTTGGTTTGCCAACTCTTTCCCTATTTGGATGGACATAACAATACCCTCACGCAACAGCTACCAGTTATTTTCATTGAACTAAATGAAATTCAATTCCCTACAAAGCCTCCCTCCAATTCTTAAATTACAGCAGTTATATAAAATAATGCATTCACTTACATGCAATGAAACCGATAAAGGTGAAAACTTCAAGGTATCTTTCTCTACATTCAAACACTCTTTCATTAACTTAAATTAGAAGCCCTTGTTATGGGCAAGTTTCTTGACCGAACCAACCAAACCAAATTCTAATGGTTCGGATCAGCTTGGTTCATCCCTTTTCCATTTTCTTAAGATAATTATTTAAAGATTTTTCAATAAAAAATTATTAAATACCGAAGAAAATAGGAGAAAAACACCAGCCAACTATACCTAACCAACTGAACCAGGATTAGAACAGAAAACGATAGCTACACCCCACCTAAAAATTGATATGCTAAACAACCTTTGAACTACAAACAAAATTAGCATTCAGTATGACCTAAATGGAAAGTTATAAGAGATGATTTAAGAAAACTTCATCATGATATTGAGCGTACGGCGTACCTGATATTGAGCGTTGTGTATTGATGAAGGCACGACAGTCGTGACTGATGGCACGACAGTCGTGACTGATGGCGCGAAGCTGGAACCGACGACGTGAATGGTGGCCACTGCAAGCCCGAATTGCTGAAAATGATGTGAGGGAGCGCAGACAACTGCTGGAGGATAGATGGAGATGAACAGATTAGGGCTCGGGCAATTGAAAAAATTTGGGGTTTGTATAAAACTTTGCAGCATTTGTAAACCAAACGCCACTATAGTGCTACTTTATTGCGACATTTACAAAACAAAATGCCACTATTGTCCAACTCTATAGCGACATTTGTATGAAAACGCCTCTATAGTTCTACTCTATCGCGGCGTTTACTAAAAAACGCCACTACTGTCCAACTATTTTGCGGCGTTTGTATGAAAACGCCTCTATAATGCTAATCTATCGCGGCGTTTACATAAAAACACCACAAAATTCCTATTATTTTGCGGCGTTTCTACACAAACACTACTGAAGTATTAATATTTTGCGGCGATTCAGAAAAAACGCCCTAAAGTACAACTATGTTGCGGCATTTGTTGAAAAAAACACCACTATATATTACATCTATTGCGGCGTTTGTATAAAAATGTCTCTAAAGTACTATTCTATATCGACGTTTGTTGTAAACGCCACTATAGATGAACCTATTGCGGAGTTTTTGGATACAAACGCCCTAATTACCTTTCTTTGGATAAGATTAATTGATTTTAAATATTTCATTTCTTCTCTACATAAACTAAATTTACTATCATGTAGCTTTATCTACTTAACAACAACCATACATTTTAATTAAGACACACGTTATGCAGAAAAAACCTTAACAACAAAATAAATTAAAATTTACAAACACGTTCAGATAACGACCTTCCACCTACAGTATGAAACTTGATTGGAGCTGGCTTGGGAACTGAATCAAGCATTAAAACAAAATTAAAATAAAACAGAGAAACATTTACTTGGAGTAACAGTAGAGGCAATGTCGTCTTCATCGAGGATAGATAATGCTTTTACAATTGAAGATTCTTTCAACGCCTCAAATTTCCCCAATTCGGTTCTAAACATTGGGAATTTATCCACTCCTCTATCATCATTCTCTAAGCTTTGAACATCCTACATGCGTACGATCTATGAAATTTTAGAGTACAAAATAAAAATTATGCGGCGTAAAGATTCAGAGATTATTACTTTGGGTCATCATCGAGTTTTGGCAGCAAAAACAAACCTAAAGCCTCTGAACGATAATTTGATCCATCGTCAGTGAAAATACGACATGTGGACATTCCGACTACTGTCAGAAACATAGCTCTAGAAAAGTTCAGACAATATACCCTAGACAACTGTGAGAGTCATTTATCTTTCTTGGATAAACAAACCAATACTATTACAATTATCAATGCATGTCTCCTTGATACACAAACCTCACATATTCATATGTAAATGCATTCCCTCAAAACAAATTCCCATTTAAGTGCAAAGGAAAAGAAACATTCCCTCGAAACAAACCAATACTCTGGTTGTTTGTTGTTTAAGTGCAAAGGAAAAGAAACATTTCCTCAAAACAAAATTCCCATTTAAAACTCATCCTCTTACATGCATATCTAACCCCTATAGACTCGGCCACAAACCTGACTCCCTAATATAACCAAAAGCAATCAATTGAAAAGGTCAGATCCAACAAAATATATATAATCAATGCCTAGAATTATAGTTCACAGAAACCATTTTCCAGTCTACAGTATTTCATAAACCAATGGCAGCACATGGTTTTAATTTTTTTCACTTATTTTCCCTCACCAAACATGTCATTCAAATGCATAAAGAATCCAAATACAAACACATCCTTGCTTACATGTACACAATCAAATGAATCAAGCTCTTATTTCCTTTTGCTCACGTTTTCAAAAGCTATTATTTCCTTTCGAAAGCTATTATTTTTCTATTCAAAAGTGCTAAAAACACTGCTCCCAAGCAGTAAACCAGTAAAACACTATGTATATATATTGTTTTCCTATTCGAAAGCTATTATTTTTCTCTAATATGTTAGCTTTCTGGGTTTTCCCCATTTTCAGAATACCAACAAAAAGGAAATGAAAAAGTTCAGTAGTGAGAGAAGGGATCAAACCGTGCAATTATTTTATAGTTCGCTAGTGAGAGGGTCGATTTGGTCGCCAGGACAGACAGAAGACGACGTCGCTTGGAATTGTATGCAAACCATTGTTGTACCATAGAATAAGCTTTTAGGGAATAAGAGTTGAAATGATTTTAGGGATCGGGCTGGAGAAAATAGTTGAGCATATATTTATCCTTTAACGGCATTTTTAAAAAAACGCCACTATATCACATGTTTTTGCGTCATTTTTATAACAAACGCTACTATTGATGATGGCATTTGTCTAAAAATGCCGCTAAAGTACTATTTATAGCGGCGTTTATTGGAAAAATGCCACTATAAACTAACCCTATTACAGCATTTGTGCTTAAAATGCCGCTAAATTACTAACCTATTGCGGCGTTTGTTAAAGAAACGCCTCTAAAGTTTCATTTTGTGGCGTTTGGATTGTAAACGCCGCTATATGTTTAAATTTAGTGACGTTTACTCTCCAAACGCCGCTAAAAATGCTGCTACAAAACAGTTTTGCTATAGTGCAAAGTGCAGGTTAACAATATTTTTCCCTCTTCGATTTGGATGGTTATATAATGGCCACTATTCTGATAATTTAATGTTGATTTTTGGGTACAGATGCAGCCAAAAAACATTCCAAAGTCGATGATGGAAGGCGAAACTCCAAGCTTTTTGCCCAGCAACATAAAATGCCCACAAGAACAGTTCTCATCAAAAGGAGTACAAAAGAAGATCTAATAATGGCCAAGAGAATGAAAGCTTTAGGGTTGCCTTATCCAATGACTTCCAATTTTCACACCACCAATGATGCTCGTCCAAATACAGCCGTAAGCAAATCTGCCATTAAAGTTTTGTTTATACACACACACATAAGTTCTTATATGGCTTTTGTTTGTACAGTTTGCTACTGTTCAATATAATAGGCACAATTTTAGAGCCAAAACAACCATGAACGGTTGGGCCCCAAGTACGTCAGCTGTTCAGGCCAGCTATGCCAATCTCTGGATTACTAATGGCCCTATACATGACATCAGTGTTCTTCAAGATGGTTGGGGAGTAAGTAATTGTTGCCTACGGTTTATGTTTTACTCAGGTATTTAAATTGTGGTTGTGAACGCAATTAGATACTATTACGGTCATTATGAATATTGTGGTTGTATTGCCTCTACCGATTAAATTGTGGATGTGATCCACCATCATTGGTGTGTTTTCTCTTAACAATACTATTGACTATAATAATTGTTTCATTATCGGATTGCTATTTAAATTTCTGATTGCAGTCAAAATTTAAGTCCTTCATGCTCTTGGATAATTATTAAGTAACACACGTCAGAGTTTATTCCCCCCCCCCTACAGATTTTACCAACGCTATTTTCGAGCAACTTGACCAGGCTATTAACTTGGACTGTAAGTTTTTTAACTAGAATTTTCCTTACAATAATCTGATTTATATTTACATCGCCTTTTGTGTTAATTTTTGGTGTTTATTGCAACAGGCAGATGGCTATAAATTCACAGGCTGCTTTAATTATCTTTGTCCAGGATTCGTACAAGTTCACCGTCAAATAACCCTTGGTCTTGTTCTAGACTAGCTTTCCGTTTACAATGGCACACAACAAGACGTAGAAATCGGCATATTTAGGGTAATCTTTCTCGATCTTTTAGCAGTGAATATTAATATAATTTTTCTATAAATTTTTCTTTTAATAGTCTAGTGATTACAAGGCAATATCAGTTCATCATGTATCTTAATAACTAACAATACATTCACCATGTAAATATAATTGCTGAAACTCCCTTTAATAATCACTGAAATCGTTTTATGGGTTCAATTTTTTTTTTAATTCTTTAGTAACCAATTGGTTTGATTGCGATAGGATGGAGAATGGTGGCTCAAGATTTTCAACCAATTCGTCGGTTATTGGCCACAAAAAGTGTTCGTTTTGTACGGTGGTGCCAATAACGTTGTGTGGGGAGGTCAGGTTTTCAGCCCTGCAAATGAGCCAAGACCGGCAGTGGGGAGTCGCCATTTCCCTAAAGATGGTCTTCAAAACAAAGCTGCCTACTGTAAGGGCACTTAGATTTGGGACAATGATAATTTGTTTTATCCACCCCCGGATCAACTTGTGGTGTCTGCCAGTATGCCTGATTGTTACGAGGCTAAGCTTGTTGATGGTGCTGTCCAGGGTATCAAATAGCGTACGTGGTCACGTTTTCGGTCGCGTCGCGTTTATTGCGGTTGCTGACAAAACGGATGCCATCACGTTCACTGCGGGTGTGCGGTCGTGATTTTTTTTAATTTTGCTCAACTTATCTTAAAACATAATAAAAATAATTATAATTATAATTATAAGGAATCATTTTTAATGATTTTTAAAGTGTTTTCTAAGAGAAATTGACATATATATAATATAGTTTAACCAAATATAAGACATTAAAAATCCAATGATAAGATAAGATAATTAATTAACGATGGCATTGTGAATACATTATTATTTAAAAGAAATAAAACTATCAATCATTTTATAAAAGAGTTATTCTTCATTGAAAAACTCAAGAATAATATATATATATATATATATATATATATATATATATATTTTAACAATATATATATATCAAATGTAAGCAAAAAGAAAAACACATATCTCATGCAATAATTAAAGCAAGAGCATAAAAGTACGATGTATAATAATGAAAACAACACATACCTCATATAACCTAACTATGTTAAGATGTACAATACTTAAAACAACACATATCTCGTGCAAGCAACCTAACTATGTCAAGATGTTCAACAATCTTCATTATGGATGTCTCTCTTTTAATCTAAAACCAATCAAACAAAGTAAATTAAAATCCAAAAAAATGCTAACTAATTAAATGTCATAGAAAAATATATTCGTTTGGTAGGCAAAACATACCTTAGAAATGGGGTGGTAGCAGTTTCACCAATTAGTGGAATAACGAGGAAGATCAGATCATTTACCTTCTCTTTGAGAGTGATCTCCACTTGATCTCTGTGGTCTTTGTCCCAAAATATATCTAAAAATATAACATTTTCACCTTGATTTTCAATTAATTGAGATGGAGGATTTACTTATGGAGGAGGATACATGTGAGGTGGAGGTGAGTGATACATGAGTGGCGGAGGGTACATTTGAGGCTGATATGGCACACTATAATTAGGAAATGGTGGATAAAAACCATGTGAAGGTTGAAAATATGAAGATTGTCCCAATGGATAAAAACCATGAGTGTTAGTAGATGAATCACTATACCCAGTGTTACTAGAAGTCGATCTTCTGCTGGAAGAAGAACCTTCAGAAGTATGTTTTCTGGTGTCTTTCCCTTTCCCTTTTGATTGAGCTCTTGGTTCACTTGTTTCTCTACTAGATGCAACAGACATATTTCCTTCGAATTCTGACCTATCACGGAAATGTCCACTATCGGTATAAACATATTCTTCTCCATACCGATCAGAAGATCTAAATTCAGCTCCATCACCACTCTGTCTATCATCGTCATCAATTAGACTTAAACCACCACCATCGGGCCAATCACCATTCTGACTTGGTGTTGCACTAGAAATTGAATGAGATAAATTTTGTTGTTGTGATTGATCATCAACATTCATTTCATCATTTGAGTTATCCACATGCAACACACCAACATTTTCACCATCTAATAATGGATTCTCTTTCTCTTGAAGCCATTCTGATAGTGGATCAACATCTTCAAATATATGATCAAGATTGATAGGATTGTAACTAGCGTTTATGATAAGTGCTTAATTTAGTTAATATTTTTCTTTTAAATTACTCTTTAATCATTGGTTTTTGTGGCTTAATTATTCGTTCATTTTCTGTGTAGGACGTTAGATTCTGGAAATTGCACAAAAAGGACAGAACTCTGCAGTTTTTTATTTTCGGAATCAAAGCTAGCTGGAATTCGGATTTGAATTAAACTCAAGTTTAGGATAATATTTTAAACAATATATTTTATCTTTGTATTTTAGTTTAAATAGGTTTTAGTATTTTAATTAAGGTTTAGGATATTATTTTTATATTTTATCTTTGTTTTAGGTATTTTAGTTTAAATAGGTTTTAGTATTTTAATTAGGATTTAGAATATTATTTTAAATATTATTTTTTAGGTATTTTAGTTTAAATAGTTTTAAGTGTTTTAATTAGGATTTAAGAGTTTTAGCTTGTTTTTAGGAATTTGAAGGCTATAAATACCCTCTCACGGTAAGCCTAGAAACATATCTCTCTCATCTGAGAATAAAATCTTCTTTTTCTCTCTAGTTTTCTCTCTATTTTCGCATACTCCTATTTTCTTTTAGATTTTTTTTTTCAATTATGCTAAGTATGACATTGGTCATACTTAGCTAATTTTCTTTCAAGCCGAAGACTAAAGCGAAGGCTCAATTCCAAACGTGAGAATTTTAAGGTACTTAAATCGCTTCAGATTTTCTCTCTATTTTCTTAGCTTACTTTTCAAATCAAAACGATTTCGAAATTGGTTCGGATATTTTTATGGTTAACGTCTGAAGAAGGATTTTCTTATTGAAGCATATTCAACTTCCCGAGAACACATTAGTAAAATTGTTTTCTAAAGAGGAAACTAAGATCAGAATCAGTTATTATTGAAACAACACAATCCGAGTTGGCAGTGAAGAATTATCCTTGTAAGCCGACGTGAATCTTGAAGTAAAAATATGTTTCGATGATTCGAGGAATTTGAGGAAAAGCTGAAGTCTGAGGATGCTTTCACAATAAGTTTTTCTTTATCTCAATCTCTTTAATTTTGTTTATTTTGTTTATTTATTTTATTTAATTCTTATCTTTTATTTTAAAAACAACTTTTAAAAACACTTTTTTTATTTTACTACTATTATTTATTATTTTATTATTTTTCCTTTTATTTATTATTATTTTATTTCATTATACCTTTTTAAATTTACCTGAAATTCTATCTTTCTCTAAAATCAATAAACAGTTTTACTAAATCACAAAAATCATAGTCCTTGTAGATCGACCCTCCTTCTCTATACTACCTTTTCCTTTCTATTTATTAAGAAGCCAGGAATTATTTTGATATCAAAATGATGGTTATCAAATTCGCGCTGTTGTTGGGGGACTAACGGCAAGTACTGATTTATTTTTCTATTTTTTGATTTTTGACCAGAAGAAACCCAGGTGAATTGGCAGATCTAGATCCAGAGATCGAAGCTCGAGCACTAAGAATCCACGCACAAACACTTTGAGAACAAAAGAAAATACAAGAAGAACAAGATTAGAAGCAGAATCAAATCCCGATGGCAGAAGAAAAATAAAACAATCCGAGAGCTAGCCACAACTCATGTCACTCAGACACCATTATGCATTAATTTTCCTAGTAGCGGGACTCCGTTTCAATTAAAGACGAGACTCGTTCATCTTCTTCCCACTTTCCACGGCTTTCCCACTGAAGATCCGTACAAACACTTGTTGGAATTTCACATGGTTTGCACTAGCATGAAACCACATGGAGTTACCGAAGATCAAATTAAATTGAGAGCTTTCCCTTTCTCTTTAGCTTACTTGGCTAAAGATTGGTTAATTTATTTACCTCTAAATTCAGTTAATTCATTGGCTGACATAAATCAAATTTTCTTGACAGGTTCTTTCCAGCAGCTAAAGCAAGCGAGTTACGAAGGAGCATTCTCTCCATTCAGTAAAAGAGTGGAGAAAGTCTTTATGAATATTAGGAGCGATTTAAAAAACTTTGCGCACGTTGTTCGCAACACAGATTAAGTGAGAAAACGTTAATTCAATACTTTTATGAAGGCCTTTTACCAATGGAGATGAAGATGGTAGATGTCGCCAGTGGAGGAGCATTAGTCAACATGACCCCAACAATAACAAGGGAATTGATTTCAACCATGGCAGCCAACTCTCAACAATTTTCAAGTGAACCCAACCAACGAGTTCACGAGATAAGTACATTTTCTCTTGAAAATAAGTTAGATAAATTAACTTAAGTAGTTAATTCACTTGTTGCAGAAAAATCTGGAGCAACAAGAGCATGTGGGATATGTACAAAGCTAGACCATCCGACGGATTGCTGCCAGCTGATACAAGAAGGAGATAATGCAGAAATCAATGCAGTAGGGAACTTTCCAGGTCCTCCACAAAGACAATATAACCCATACAGTAATACTTACAATCCAAGATGGCGAGACCATCCAAACTTCAGTTATGCGACAAATCAAAGACCAACTTATCGACCAAGGCCTCCTCCTCAATAGCAAACTCAAAACTCATCATTGGAGGAACTCATAGGAAAGTTAGAAATTTCACAAGAAAAGTTCATTACATCCCAGGAAAAATTCCAAAGCTGAACCAAAACACATCTTCTCAAACTATGGGAAAATTAGAATCACAAGGAAGAATACCTTCTCAAACGGAGTTAAATCCGAGAGATAATGTTAATGTCATCACACTCTGAAGTGGAAAAGTTATCTCACCCGAAGTTCCAGCAGAAAATGGCGCACATCAAAAAGAACAAGAGGACACGCCACCTTTAAAAATACAAGGTACGTCTGACTCACATCATTCTCTTTCTTCTCATGAAATCACGCCACCACCCTTCCAATCAAGGTTGATGAAGCGTGATAAAAAGAGCTGAAGAAAGGGAGATCTTAGAGGTGTTCCAAAAAGTTCAAGTTAACATACCTCTTCTTGAAGTAATTCAATAAGTACCAAGGTATGCTTGATTATTAAAAGAACTTTGCACTACAAAGAGGAAATTAATGGGGCACAAAAAGGTAAATTTAGGAGAACATGTCTCTGCAATTTTTTAACGAAAACTCCCACCAAAGATGAAGGATCAAGGTATGTTCTCTATACCTTGTAAAATAGGTGATTTTAAAATTAAACGTGCAATGTGCGGCTTAGGAGCTTCAATTAATGTTATGCCATTTTCTATATATAAAATGATTACTAACGAGCCGTTGAAGGAAACAATAATAAACATACAATTGATTGATCAATCTATGATTTATCCAATGGGAGTGATGGAAAATGTCTTGGTAAAAGTCGATGTATTATTTTTTCCTGCAGATTTCTATGTCATTGACATGGAACATGACAGGTTGGAAACTTATTCCGAGGTACTTTTAGGTCGACCCTTCCTAACCACTGCAAATACAAAGATCGATGTTAGAAGTGGTATAAAAACAATGGAATTTGATGGTGAGACGTTAATTTGATGTTTACAAAGTAATGAAATGCCCAGATCATGTT